TCCACTCTTCAGATCTAACGTAGAGAATATCGTTGACCCCGCCAGCGTGTTTAGAGTATCGTCTATCCTCGGCAGGGGATAACTATCCTTCTTGGTAACATTATTGAGCTGCCGATAATCAACACAGAACCGGTACCACCAACCGTCTTTCTTCTTTACTAGTACTACCGGCGATGTCCACGGGCTGTTAGATGGTTCGATGACACTCTCTTCTTTCATTTCTCGAAGGATTTTATCAGCTTCTTCACGTTTGGCGAGCGGAAGTCTTCTCGGATTTTGTTTGATTGGTCGTGCATCTCCGGTATCAATTTTATGTTGTACTAAATTGGTACGACCACTCTGTCCTGCTTCTCCTTTATCAAACACATCTTGATACTTGATTATCAGGTTTCTCAATTTTCTACTATTTTTGGAAGATAATCCTTTAACGTTTACTAACTCCTTCACCATTTTATCCGGAATTTTTGAAGTCGAAACTTTGGAGGCTTCCACGCTTCGAATGACTGAGGAGACCGACACAACAGTACCCTAAAAGGGTTCCCTTCTTCAAGGATACTGAATAATAATTCGTGTTCATTACTCTCACCGGTAGAGTAGCACAAACAACAACTACGAGTAGCACAAAGAGCCATGGAAAGAATCATGTTGGGAGTCACCATTAGGGAAAAAATACGGAATACCCACATACGTCAAAAAACAAAATTAATAGATGTCGTTAAAAGAGTGGCAAGTCTAAAGTGGCAATGGATAGGACATGTGGCAAGACAGGATCCAGACCGATGGCCCCAAAAAGTAATCCTATGGAGACCTAGGGGAACAACAAGAAGTGTGGGCCGACCAAAAAAGAGATGGATCGATGACGTCAGAGATCGCGAAGCATGGAAAAACCTAGAAGAGGCCTATATCCAACATTGGATGGAACCAGGCTGAGAAAGAAGAAAGAAGAAGACTTTCACCGGTACAGTTTTCTTCGCTCGCAGCAGGGCTTTTCCAACAGCGATCCCTCGTCCTATTTCGCTGTCATGGTTCCTTGGCTCCAACAGAATAATACTCCCATTATTCATTTTACCTTCCAGGCAACCATCCAAAAATATCTCACAACGCTCAGGGATCGAAACATCTTCTGCTACCACCACGCGAAGCGTCTCTCCTCACATTTTCGATGTAGAACCACTTCTTCTTCATTTATTTTCAAAATTCCCTGTTTGAAGTTTAGTTCAAAACCTTTAGTGGTCATAATGTCCATTCCGAGAATAAGTTCATCTTCGATACCTGCTACTAATACTGGATGTTCAAAACTGGTGCTCCCAATAACAAAATTAAGGTTTACTTCTCCATGGGCAGCAGCGGAGCCCCCGTAGCAGTACGTAGTCGCCATTGTGTTGTTTAACCTTCTTCGATGTTTTAAGAATGTCCGGTCTGATGATAGTTCTCGTCGCACCTGTATCCAACAGCATGGTCGGAACTCTCCATCAACAAAACCATCCACAAAAATGCTGTTGAATTTGTGTTGTAGCGAGGCGACTTGAGCAGTTTTCGTTGGGGCATGTTGGGTACAGGTCGACGTGTGCCCCTTCATTTCGACCCTTAGTAGTTTTCCGACCTCGATGAAGCCGGTTCTTCGTTCTTCTCCTTACAACGGCTTCGCACGTGTCCTACCTGTCCGCAGTTCCAATCGGTTGAGGAACGAATCGGTCCCTTCTTGCCCATGTACTGGTCCATTACTTTCCGAACAACCCCTTCCACAGATTCGTCGGAACATTCGTCGATGGCCCGTACTCTTCCTAAAGACCGAGAACTTTGTTTCGCGGCCTCGAATTCTAGGGCACGTGCTAAAGCATCCACCAAGTGCGTTGGGTGGGCTATGAGAAGCGCTTGTCTTGTCTCGTTGTCACGTAAGCCGTCGGAGAATGCCTGTACTGCCAACCGCACCATAACATTCTCGGGCGTAGCAGGGTACGCAAGGCGAACGAGACGGGCTACTTCGGCTTCAAACTCCTGCAGAGACTCATTTGCCTTTTGAATGCGATTTTTTAGCTGGGAATGATAGATATGTTCCAAATGAGCTTGGCCGTACCTCATTTCTAAATGTCGTACCAATTGCTGATAATCTCCCTATTCCGATGGTGACAGTGTCTGCAGAATATCAGTCGCATCTCCTCGCAGTGCGATAGTCAAAGCGGTAGCTTTTTCAGCGATTGTCCAGTCGTTCGCTCTCGCAGCGGCTTCAAATTGGCAAAAATAATTGGCCCAAGCGGTTTGTCCGCCAAACTGTGGAGGTTTCATAACTGATTTTGAGGCATACCTATTTTCGACTAGTTTCCGTCCCTCCGATGTTTCTTGACATTTTGGTGAATTTGCCTTTGCTATTTGTTCTTTCAAAATTTCGATTTTTCTATTTACATCTTCCTCAATCTCTGTTATTTTATTGTTAAAACTTTCTTCCAAAATTATTATTTTATTATTAAAGCTGGCCTGTATATCTTTAGAATTTTCGATGATCTTATCTTCTAATGTATTGATTAAATCCTGGGAATTTTCCATAATTTTATCACTGATTTTCTCTTCTAAATTAACTTCCAAGTCAATTATTTTACTATTCAAATTGTTCAAGTTGTCGTCTAATTTTTGAGAATTCTCTGTCATTTTATCATTCAAACTCTTTTCCAAGTTAATCATTTTACTATTCAAATTGTTCAAGTTGTCGTCTAATTTGTGTAGGCACGAGTCAAGGTCACCTTCCAACTCAAAGCAAAATGTGTCAGGATCCTCACCTTCCTCCACCAAAACGTCTCTCAGTCTAGCTTGCAAAATGCTTTACTTTCCATCTGTCTCGCACTCTCTCTCTTCCAATATGCATTTTAGTTCGGACACTTTCAAGTCTTTCAACAATTTTTTCAGAGCCATGGTCAGGCTTTTTATTTTTCTTGTCTATCACACACGCCACACTTGACACCAATTGTTACGTTTTTCGTCGGTTCCGTGTGGATAGAAAGTCACAATTTATTTAAACACTATTTATTTAACACTAATTAACAAAAACATTAACGATAAAAGACTTAAAGAACTATTTACAAACAACTTATAACTAAGAATTTATTTTTGAATTTTAGCGCGTCAACTGTACTCGTCTATTTATATAACTGCCCTCTCTAGGCCACAGCCGCCGGCTTTTATACCTACAGTTAAAGTTTACTAGAATAGTCCATAGATCGTTAGGTGCATAGAGAAGGTTTCGAATGTTCTCGTATGTATTACTCCATTCCAGTGGGACTCGATTCTTCTCGAGTCTTCGAATGAATCATTACGGTGTCTATTTTTTAATGCGATGCTAAGGTCATCCTAGGGCGGGCTATATAGTTCGGTTAGGTCGAGTCCACACCGGTCCGCAACAATACAATAATAAATTATGAAAATGAATGTCTCTTGAGTTGATATAAATAAGCATTCGTCAAAAGATGAAATAAAATTTATAATGTGTTACTTTTTACCACACTGTCTAATATACATATGTACCAAATTCAGTTTTTTAGTATTTGGAAAAATTATTAATCAACGTAAACAGTCAATTAATGTAGTTTAAATACTGGGATCATATTAATTGGTGCTATTTAACAAATATTTAAACAGTTTTTCTTATTTTTTTAATGAAATAAGCGAATTATATCAACAATATTAGTATCTGGTATTCTTTGAAAATGTGTTACATTTTTAAAAATAATCTTAAATATCAATATTCCATGGGTAGAGTAAATGACGTCTAAATTATAAGAAAATGCTACTTCTACGAAAACTTGAAGAGACAGGTAAAAAATGGTATAATACAATTTGATAGACAATTCAATTATGCATCTGATTCTCGTTAAATATTACAGGGTGTTCCATTTAAATTAAACAAGTTATTGCCGCTTAAAGCTAGTAATTATTTAATATAATTTTTTAGACACCTATATAAGGTAGTATTTTGTTTATTATTGCAGCACAATATGTGATTAATAAATAAACTTCAGTAATTATTTAGTATTAAAAACTTCGATACCCTTGGAGAAATGAAGCCTTAAAATTTTTACTGCAATTTCATAAAATTGAAAATACTTCAAAAACGGTAAGGTTTAAGTGTGATAAACCTTAATCAAATTTATCTTTATTTTAATCGTAGAATCTAAAAATATAATAATATACAGGGTGATCTATTTAAAAAAATACAACTATAATATTTTTTACCTATTTGGGACACTCTGTATCTTGTAAAAATATTTTTAAATTGTAGCTCTAACAGTCCTTCAACGAACCCAAAACTTACAATTTGTAAAAATCTAATCGTTTAGCTACAATACTCCGTGTCGTATGTGGTGAGCAACCCTGTATAAATTAAAATGTCCGTAAAACACAGGCCGATATTCAATAGCGTCTACGCTATTATTTAAAATATGTAAAATAGAATCTTATTTCCGCTCCATTATTATATCTCCAAGATCAGCAGTTTTCAGTACTTTTTTAATTTTTCATAAGTAAAGAGCATGTTGGACAAGAAATCAGACAAGAATATGCCGGAAATGTGAACATAAACATTGAGAATTTTAAGTTAGATCCTTTACGTTATGGCCGTAACGGATAGATTTACGATATATTCCGAGAAATCTAATTAATCCTTCAAAATACCGTATTTATTACGTTACTGTATTTTCTTAACGTTACTGGCGCGAGAGATTTCTATTTACATTTTTTAATATATATCCGGTCTTCCGGTCCTGCCGATATACCGGTTCAGTATCGGTCCCACCGATCTAATTGTTAAAACCGGTATACCGGTTGTAGGACCGATACTATGTGGTACCGCATACCGGTACTGAAATCTTAGGACCGAACATTCCTAACCGATATCAGCTCTTTCCTAGCTCTAGCTAAGATAACTAAATCATCTGCAAAGACTAAGCAATGGTGTCTTTTTGTATACAGAAGGCCCGCCTCTATATAAATTTTATATAAAATATTTTTAGAAGAAAATTATAATGTTGTCACTGCCCATGACAATTTGATTAGTGACATGAGTGTTGCTGAAGAAGATTTAGATGAAACGTCGGACATGGGAATTGTAGAACATAAGCGGTCATCAAAAACTTCTCAAGAATCTCAAGTTATAAATACCAGTGATCAATATGCCCGTAAGTTACTTGAAAATTTAGATTGAGAATTGAATCCTCCGCATTATTTAATTTTACCTTGCATCTAAACTCACCGGTAAAAAAAATCGGCCACTAAAAACTAGTCCCAATTTCAAAGTTGGATTTCTCGAACCACTCGTTAGATTTTGATGATCTTTTTTTTTAATTGTAAATTAATTCCTTCCTAATGGATGCTACGTCAGAAATTTTTATTCCAAATTTATTTTCAGCATATACAGGGCACAACAATAAGAGGAAGTTTTTTGCCCGAACTTTGTAACACCCTGTAGAGTGCAGCAGCGGTAGTAGCTGTTACTAAATTAAATCACATTGTAGCCTCATCTTTTATGAGCATTTCGTTTTTTTAATCACCACATTATCTCTTTTTGTATTGGAGATATGCTGTTTTAAAACGAACGTTTCGGAAAAATTCAGAATTCATCTCGGAAAAGGCAGAAAGTTTTATGTGTAAATAATCAAGGCAACATAGGCGAAAAGGGATTTATGAGTATTTGCAATGTGAGAAAAACGGTTGTCAAATTAAAAAATGCCATTATCTGTAACGGATGTTGCTCATATTGTGGCTTTAATTGAGGATGGCGGAAACGGGAAATTTCACCAAGCGAGTGGACACTAGATATTAGTCCCTTAAAATTTCCTTTACCGTTTTTTTAATTTTCATGTTTTAGTTAGTTTACGTCTACGTTCTGATGTTTGATTTGATTTTTAAGCTTTTTTCGAGGCGTTTGTTTTAAAGCAGCGTATCTCCAATACAAACAGAGATAATGTCGTGATTTTAAAATCAAAATGCTCACAAAAGATGAGACTACAATGTGGATTGATTTAGCAATACCTACTACAGCAGCTGTACCCTACAGGGTGTTACAAAGTTTGGGCAAAAAACTTCGTCTTATTGTTGTGCCCTGTATATGCTCAAAATAAATTCGGAATAAAAATTTCTGACGTAGCATCCATTAAGAAGGAATTAATTTACAATTTAAAAAAAATCATCAAAATCTAATGAGTGGTTCGCGAGAAATCCAACTTTGAAATTGGGACTAGTTTTTAGTGGCCGGTTTTTTTTGCCGGTGAGTGTATATATGATTTTATGATTTTTTAGTAAGACCATCAGTAAACATGTGTATTAGAATGAAAATGCTAGGCGCTTTAAAAAAATTCATTCTGGCTCCAGTTGAAAAAGGAATATCTGCAGACGAACCTATAGAATATTTGACCGAAATTCGAAAAGTGACTATACTGTTTATCAACTGTAAATTCAATAACAGCGCTGAACTAAAACCAGTAAAATTACTCGATATTGTCGATCAAGTTTACATTACTGTAAGCGGGTAAGAAATATTATTTTTTCTTTTAAAATCTAGTAGATTTTAAGTCAGATTTATACAAGGTCTCGGCAATAGTGCGTCGGGCATCTGTAGCTCCTAGAATAAAACATCTAGGCATTTTGCAATGTACTAAGATGTATTTCAGAAATATTTCCAAAAAAATCCCATACGAAGCGGGTACTTTTCGGCGAAAATTGCTCGCTAAAATCGAAAATTACCCGGCGAAAATTTCCCGCAGAATGTCTAAATGACAACGACACATTTGTCCACCATAGATAAATGAAACAAGTTTAGATTGGAAAGTGCCCATAAGGACAATGTAAACACTATTTGGCGCTATTCTTGCAACGGTCGCGACCCAAAACTTTTGAAAATTTCGGAGCGGTTCGGCTTTTTCCGGAATTATATCGCCAAATATTGTTTATTCAAATTTATTATTATTTTCGTTTAATTTTATAAATAAAATATAGTGTGTTCATCACAGCACAGCTTTTTAAGATTTTAATGCCACTTTTTCCCAATTATCACCGGTTGGAGTAAATAAAATTTGAATTAAACTCACAAGATAGCAATAATTACTTTGAAAATAGACGCTATAAACACTTTTCGGAATTTCTTTAATGAGAGCGGTTTAGATTTTAAAAGATTATTATGATTTTTGAAGATTCTGACTTTGACAAGAGAAAATTATTTTTGTTTTTATTTGCCGTTGTTCTTAGCGACCGCTATAGCAGCGCCAGATCGAGTATAACGGTCGCGACCCAAAATAATTTCGCGACCTAAAATTTTTACGGGCTTTCCAATCTAAACTTGTTGCATTTATCTATATTTGTCACTTAGACGGAAATTATTTTTAATAGGTATTTTAAAAATGTCTCGATTTGAAAACGATTCTTTAAGTGCAATTTAAGAAAAAGTTGCCGAAAGTAAGCCGAAAAACACTATAATTAATCACCAGTATGTATGGAAACAGTTTATGGACTTTCTGAAAGATTGAAACTACATGTTGGATGCGAACATCTCAATCTCGGCACTGGCAAAGCACTGGCCAATATTTTGACCGATTGGGAATTTAATATGAAAAGGAAAAACGACCAAGACTATAAGGATTTTACGGTAAAAACCATTTGGGTAACAGCCAAGCTATTAATGGAAAAATACCAAAAAGAATATAATGTTAAATTTAATCCTTTTACAGACTCCGAACTTAAAATATCCCGGGAGGCAAAAAGTGCCAAAAGGAAGGAGTTGCAGATGGACCCTCTAAAAAGAAAAGAAAGCTCTAAGGCACTCAAATACGAAGAATTCAAATTGATGGTACGAAATTGTAATGAAGAATGTTCCGATGGTTTGCAAAAAAAATATTTTTTGTATTATCCTACGAATTGGCATGGCGAGGAGGAGAGGGAGGAACATGTTTTGTTTCCTATTTTAAAGATGATATTGATAATATAGGACAACCCACCAGTCGCATTGAATATAACCCGATATTCGATAAAACCACTCAAGGAGGAAATAAACCTTGTGCTCCGTCAAAATGGCTGGTCATAAATAGAGGTCAACCGGATATATGCCAGTAAGGCTATTTAAAAAAATTATGGAAAAAAGACAATTTTTAATAATGTTCCAAGATTATTTTAAACTGTAAATACTTCCTGGAAAATGGGTAAATGGTTCAAGAACCTTCCTGTTGGGAAAAACACGATTGCTCAATGGGTGTCTATAGAAGCGAAAAAATTAGGTTTGGCTACGGAGAAAGCAAAAATTACTAATCATTCGCTACGTACAACAGCTGTGTCGACACTAGCAAAGAAGGGGGTTGAGGAGAACACAATAGTCAAAAAAGCTGGGCACGCAAACCCGAAGTCAATTAAACCTTTCAACTCGATGACGAACATCATGCAAATTTGGTAGAAAAAATGAGAGACAATGAAACTGCTACAAGTTCTGATAATAATACTAATGTTTTTGTACCTACTATAGGTTTGCATCTTCAAGTACCGCAACGGAATCTAAACATAATAATTTTTATAACTGTGTTTTTCACTGCCATTCTTCATGTAATTTTTAATTTCTAATATTATAATTTGTGTTTCATTTTATTGCTTCATTTTTAAATAGATTTTTTTAATATGTTCAAATAAATGCTTTTAAAAAAATCTATGTATTGTTACGTTTTTCCTCGGTTCCGTGTGGATAGAAAGTCACAATTTATTTAAACACAATTTATTTAGCACTAATTAACAAAAACAATAACGATAAAAGACTTTTAAAAACAACTATTTACAAACGATTTATAACTATTTATCTATAAAGAATTTATTTTGAATTTAGGTCGTCAACTGTACTCGTCTATTTATTGCTGTACTCTTCAGGTCCAGCCGTCTGTTTATATACCCACAGCTCTGGTTCTCGAATAGCCGAGATTTTTCCATTCGTCCTTGAACGGCGCCAAGCGTATTAGTCAGTTTATACCGGGTTCACACGGTTCCGAACAGTATTTTCAATTGTATTTTCATGTTTTTTATTGGGGAAATATTCTACCGAATAACACTCGTGCATCAAAATTAATCTGATAATTTTTCATTTAAGCATGTTGTCAATAAAAAACAAAAACCACATTCGTTTATATTCATATTTTGGAAGAAGCCCTCCTCCTTCGGAGTCGGGCTCTTATGGCAAAATACAGTGGCGCATCTAGAAATTGAGTCTGGGAGGGGTAGTGTGAATATTCAAAAAAGTACTAAATTTTTTGAAACAATTTTATTTTATACCAAATTTTATCTTATTAATTAATTTCTTTGTGGGAGGGGTAATTACGCCCATTACCCCTCCCGTATCTGCGCCTCTGTCAAAATATGAATATAAACTCATCCAGTTTTTAGACAACATGCTTTCATGAAAAATTATTGGTAATTTTGATGCACTTGGGTAATTACTTTCGAAAATATTTTAATTTCTATAGGGCGGCTCAAAAAAGTGTGAGTTGATCGGGATGATCTTTTTTTAAATTTATCACCTTATATATATTGCATTGTTGGCTTCCTTTTAGACTTTTAGATCACTTTACTTAATCCTAAGATATGAATAAATATATTTCGATAGTTTCAGAGATATTAACAAGTAAATAAAAAATATATATTTTTCAGCCTTTCTTAAAAAAATTAATAATACAAGAACTGTCCTCAAATCAAAACCATATTATACTTAGTTGGGATCCATTCTTGGTTTTAGGCCAGCAAACTGCTAACCAACTAAATATACTAAAGGTCAAAGCACAGATAACACATAATCGTAGTAATGTTGACAAATAACAAAGAATACACCCCTTAAAGTTTCGCATTTGTCTTGATATACTCTGTATAAGACAACAGTAAATAACTTGTAATATAACTTCGAAATATAAATTTGAAATTAAAATAATGATTTGTTCATAAGTGATTTACGTTTTATTAATTTTGATTTTTTTTTCTTAAATTTAATTTAAAAGTGATTTACGTTATTTATTAATCAAACATTTAAAATTTGAATATACGTTCAAAATTTTTTTTTACAATAAATTTGTTTATGATAAATAATTTTATAATAAAAATATGACCGAATTTCCTGGAAAGTTTGCCAAATTTGTACATATGAAAACCTAGCTTTACCACTTATCACAGAAAATCTCTATTCCTTCCCTTATCACAGAATAATACAGGAACGAACCATATGCGACAAAGATAGAAGATTTAGATATGTCGTTACTGCTTTTTGTTTTTAATGGATATTTTAAAAGCCGGGTAATATATGGTAATCTTTGATGGTAATATACTGTATACCTTTGACTGTCTTTGATTACAACTGTGTGATTAGTGATAATTATTATTAAAATGTCTGGTAATAAGTGTCAATTTTACAATTGTGAGATTTCTCGGAAATCAGGTGTACATGTGTTTAAGTTTCATGCGTCAAGAGATCCTAATTTATGTACAAAGCGGATAGAAAATTGTGAGTTCATTCATATAGAATTTTTTTGCACATTTTGTATGTAAAAATACGGCGTTAAGTTACCTTAGAAATGGTGATCGATGGCTTTTACCATATACCGTATGATCGAAAAAAAACGGCGTCAGCGATGGCTATGAAATGAAGATCGCTGTCATTTGATATGTAAAATTATATGGGGAATGTCATCGATCGTCATTTCCAAACCAATCGGACGCCGTTTTTTTTTCGATCGTAGGGTATAATTTAACACATTAAGAGTTGTCCATCGTTATATTTCTATATCTATGCAAAGTTTACGATGGATAAATCAAGTAATATTAAGTGGATACAAATTATAAATGAATCAGTGAATATAAACTGTTATAAATTATAAGTAGGTAATGCAGTTAGTGAATATACCGTACGATAGAAAAAAAAAGGCATGAGAGTGGGCTTGGAAATGAAGATCGCTGTCGTTTAATAGGTATGTAAAATTATATGATAAATCTTATCGATTGTCACTTCCAAATCAACATGACATGTATCTGTACATCATCATCTCACGACTAAGTGTGCGAACACAGTGCAAGCAGGTTTGCCGCTTACTGGTAGCCAGCGCCAATCTGGGTACCTATTCTTGACATCGTTCGCAACTTTGCGTATACGCATCACGTGTATTGTTATAAACAGGGTATCCCAGAAATAAGTGCAAGTATTTTAAAGGGTGGTAGATCTCGAAAAAAGAAACACATTTTCTCTTTATCGTTTTTCAAATAAGTCCAAAATAACGGAGTTATTTTACTTTGAAAATTTCCAAAAAAAATGATTTTTTGCTCAAATTTTGAGAACCTTCTTCATGTGCCTTCTCCTCATCGGAGGTTGGCGACCATCAATTGGAATTCCTCCCTGTCTTGAGCCAAACGGATAATTGCACTTGCCTCTCCTATATTAAACCATGGCACTGGCGCAAATTCCGCATGCAGGAAAACCGTTTACGCCCGATGCCTCGTCGTCCTTCAATCTTTCCCTCAACG